TATAAACTAAATATAAAATAGAAATGAAAAGGCGTTTAAAATGCTAAAAATATAAGAAAACGAATTAAAAGAATATAAAAAAATAGAATAAAATTTAAAAGAGCAGAATTAAATTTTAAATTAAGAATTATTAGAAAAAAATGAAATTATAAATCTATTAAATGCGAAAATTTTAGAAAAATAAAATGAATTTTCCCAGTTAGAAAAAGAAAAAATCATAATTGAAAATGAAATTAAAAATCTATTAAAAAAAGTCAAATCTGATCTTATTAAGCAAGAGAATATGATTGATAAAAGAATAATTTCTAATTATTTTATTTAATATTTTGATACTCAAACCTCTTTCTAAAATAAAATGAGTGCATTTGATACTATTTGCTCAGTCCTTGATATACCGTAAATAGAAAAATTAAAAATTAATACATATAAATCTAAAATTAATGAATAATATATATAAGATAATTAAAATAATATTGATAATAATAATTTAAATGCTGGTTCCAAATCTAATGAAAATAGTTTGGTTTAGTAATTATTTACTTTTTTAACTGAAGAATGAAATTATATCTTTTATATAATTTAATTTTTCTTTTAACTAATTATACATTTAATATTTTACTTAATTTTTTTTATATTATTTTTTTCTGGGTAAAATAAAATAAAATTATTTTTTAATTTGTATAAGAGTTTAAAATATACATTTTAATTTAATATAGAATGTTGAATGTTTATAATAATTATAATTATTATTTTTTTAAAAATAAATAAATATTTAAATAATAAAAAACCATGTATTTTATAAATAGACATATTAAAAAAAAAAAACTAATCAAAAAAAGCCTATTTTTGGGCAATAATCCTAAGGAACATACTAACTAAAATCCTCATTCTTTATCTAAAAAATATTTCCAGTCAAAACATGCTTGAAAATATTTGGAATAAAAACATTTTTAATCAAATCTTAATACTCTCTATCAATTTCCATATTAATTAATTTTTGCATTTAGAATAAATAATCTTAATTCTATTCTTCATAAGCATTCATAAAAAAGTATTTTCTTTTTTATAGGTTTTTTTTAAAAGAGTTTAAATTTCTTATTCAAAAGACTTAATCATTTCTTAACTTGAAGGAAGTGTGATTATTCCATCAATAAAACGCGAAGCCAAAATGCACTATCTTTCTAAATTTTATTATATCTAAAAAGATCTACTTATTAATCCAATAAAAATTAATTCAGGATTTTTTGTACAGAACATTTTTAAATATAAAGGTCCAAAAAATTAATTTTAATTAAGTTCATTTTAGTCAAACTCAAAAAACTTATCTTTTTCTAAATCCAAAAATGGGAAAGAAAATTAAAATCCTGTTGCATATAAAATTAAATCCACATCGGTGATTTTTTCATTACTTTTCAAAATAAAATTTTTTCCATCTTCTATTTCTTCTATTTAACTTTCATAAAAATTTAAATATTGACTTTTAATTAGCTCTTTAAGTTATGAGTTTTCAGATTTCATAAAATAAAGAGTCTTAGGGTTCCCTACTAAACTTATTTTTTTAGGTTTTTCTTCTTAATTTTAGTTCAAAATTATTGCTAAAATATCCCAACAAGAATAACTAGCTCCGTAAATAACAATATGTTTTTGTTGGAATTTTTTTAACTATTTAACTCTAAAATAATGGGTGTGTAATTCTTCCCCTTTAAATTTTCCCTTCTTAATTAAAGGAATATTTGGAACACTAAAATGACCTGTACATACAAGTACAAAATCAGCCTCAAACACTTCATTTTTTTCTTAAAAATTTTCATTTGAACAAGTTTTTACAATAAATTTTTTCGAAAAACATCTTTATTCTTATTAAGTTAAATTTTCTCTCAAACGAATTTCTTTTACAAAAGTATTTGTTTTTATATATTTTCTTATCTCGTATTTTTCTACATAATCTTTTAAATATTCTAGAAATTATATTTAACTCATAAATTAATTTGCAGTAGGCTTTTATGGAAAGCCTTTGAATGTCATTAATGCCTTTGGTAGATTCGATATTAGGTTTTCGTACATTGAACTTGGAAGATATTTATAATATTTATAAAATGCGTTTGTTTAGAGATTTTCAATATCTTATTCTGTTTTGAAGTCAGCATACCACATTCCACCTATATCATCTTTTGATTCAAAGCATTTTACGTCATTATTTGGGTTTTATGATATATATTTAGTCGCCAATATACCAGATGGACCAGCTCCAATTATTATTACTGATTTTCTTTGTGAGTTTTATTATTTCTCTAAGTTCATTGTTCTTGTATTTTTATTTTTAATATCCAAATATAAGATTAAATTTAATTTGATTTTATTTATTTAGCATATATAATAATAACAATTTTAATAAAAAAGTGTTTTTTATAAATATATATAAATATTTTTAATTTAGTAAAAGTCATATTATAAAAAAATATATTTATTTTTTACTTACTTTTTTTTGAAAAAATATTATATTATTAAATTAAAATTTTATATATATATTTTTATATAGAAAAGTTTATAATTTATAAAATTTAAATACTTTAGAAATTAATTTTAATATATATTTGTGTAGGAAAAATATATATTTATTATAATATTATTTACTATTATTAAATTAAATATTTATATTAAAATATTTTTTTAAATTTTATTTCATTTTTTTGTTATATTTGTGTATTTTTTATACATATGTGTTTCACTCATTTCTTATTACGAATAATTTATTTCAAAATAAAAAATTTAATAAGTTAAATATTATAAAAAATTGTATTATTTTTCTAATAAGCAAATTTTTGATTTATACATCAAAAACTTTAATTTAAAATTTTTGAATTTCATTTAAAAAAATATTACAAAACAATATAAAATGAATAAAAATATTTTTTATAATATAAATATTTAAAGAAAAAAAAAAAAAAAAATCTCAAAAATAAAAACAATATTAAAATCTAAAAATAATATGATATAATCATAATCTCCACTTTCAGCCTTAAGCTAAAAGCGAGCTTATTAAAAATAACAATAACAAATATCAGACAAAAAACTGAAATATTAATACTTACAAATAGATGATGAATTCTAAAATCAGGACAAAACATTTTAAACAAATCAACATAATATATATAAAAATAATAATCATGAAGAAAACAGAAATAATTTTAATAACTCCTCAATAAAAGGCAAGAAATAATTAGATAATAATTAATTAGAGAAAAAATTAGAACTGATTGAAAATAATCTAAATAGAGTATGTAATTAGCATGATGCATTAATGCCCTTATTACAAGTATTAGAGGCGATTCCTTAATTATAAAGATACGAATAAAATATGAAAAATATGAATAAAAAATAGTAAGAAATAGAATAAAAAATTAGAGAATTTGAAGAAAATTTTAAAAAAGGAAATCAATATACACATATATTTAGTAATATTGATCATAATTTTAAAAATACCGCTTAAACAATAAATGGAATAAAAAAAGAAATTCAAAAAATCGAAATGAAATAAATAGAATTCGATAAAAATCTCTTTTAAAAATATAATAATAATAATAGTAATTAAGAAATTATGTTTTAACAAAAATTACAAATTGAAGATAAATTTGATAAAAATCTTAAAGATGTGCATAAATTACTTGCTGATTTCAAAAATTAAATATAATTTTAAATTAAAAAAGTTGAAAAACACGAAGATAATGATTTATATAAAAAAAAAGAGCAAAAAAATACACATGATACAAATAATATACACATTAATTAGGAGTTTGCTAATATTTATAGAGAATTAGGAATTTTAAGAACAGAAGTAGAACTAATATATGCAAAAGAGAGATAAGAATTTATACATGTCCAATTATAAAGATTAAATCCTTAATCAGAAAGTGAAACAAGGATTGTTTTAAATGGTTTGGAATAAAATATTTTATTTTAAGAAATCGAAAATTTCGATAAAATAAATTAAGTAAGACTATTGGGTGAAATATAAACTCTAGATTAAAAAATAAAAGGTATAAATGAGGATTTAGAGGTAATTTTATAAGAAAATATTTAAGAAAATAAGGAATAAAATCTATTTTATTAAAAAGAAATCAAATATATAGAAGATAGAATGTTTAATTTAAAATAATAAGTAAAAGGTACAAAAAAAAAATACCTTTGTGATACAAGAAAACTTGAAGATGTGAATATTTAATTAAGTTTGGAAGTTTAAAGATGGAAAGAAGAGAATGAAAATCAGGAATTTTTTTTAGATGGTTTATTTTAGTTAGATTTATTCAAATTAAGAATTAATAAAATTAATGAATTAGTGGGAAATCATGTTTAAGAGTTAACTCATAAAACATAAGAAATCTATTAGTTACTATTTTTTACTAAAGAAAAACTAACTAAATTATTTTCCTTTTGATATCTTTTTATTTACATATTTATTATTTTAAATAATTATATTTATTTTTCTTTTATAAAGTATTTTTTTATTCAAAATCAATTAATTTAAAAAAATTTTGTTAATATAATAAAAAAATGAGAAAATTTAGAAATCTTAATTAGTTGTATATTTAAAAAAAATAAAAAATAAATACTAATTTTTCTAAATAAATAGCTGAAAACTAAACAAAAAATTAATAAATGCATATTTTTTATTTAAATTTTAATTATACTAATTGCAATATACATATTTAAATTAAAGATTTTAAATATACTTTTATTTTTTGATAATTATTAAATTTATTTTTCATATTTTAATCCCTTATTCATAATCTTAATTAACAAATTATATAAATTAATTATTATTAAAAGAAAAAGAATTATACCAATCGGATAATGAAATAGACCTTTTATTATTAACAATAACAACTAAACTTTAAATATATACAATAGAAGAAAAATAAAAAGCACAATATGGATACTTCTATACCCCTTTAAAAATCACCTCGAATACATTCAGGAAAATTAAATAATTCATTGGAAATGTAAGAGATTTTTATGTTACTTAACAGGAGAAAGTTAAGAAGCCATTTGCATAACAAAAAAGTTTCTATTAAATAATTATAATTTAAAAAAATTAATTAAGTCATTCATTATCCATTTTTGCTTGACTTTTTTTCATTGATTTTTTTTTTTTTTAAAAACAACTAATATATAATTTAAACAAAAATAAAGTTGTATAAATTGACAATGTATTATCAGAGTAGTAAGTTTAAAAAATTTTTAAGGATTCAGTTAATGAAGATATATTAATAAAACATTTTTATATATGTTGATTTACATAGAAATTTCAGTAAAGAAAAATAAATTCGCTTATGGACTATATTATTCGAATTTCTGAAATAAATTTTTACAAAGCAAAACTGTTTCCCAAAATAATAAGCAAAATACGCCTATATAGTTAAAAAAGATTCTTTTATTTTCAACATTTCATAAACAAACAGCATAATAGGGAGTTTTTTTACAAAATAAATATGAATTTTAATTCGGTTATTCTATCTAAGCCTCTAATGAAAGGCTTTGATCATAATGAAAAATTTCAATAGGTAGTATTTACTATTTACAAATATTTCATTTTTGATTAAAAAAAAATATGAAAATAAAGTTTTTTTTATTATATAATTTATAAACGAAATTAAATTTATGGAATATTATTTAAATTATATTTTTAAAATGTTTATATAATAAAAATCACTTAAATAAGAAAAATATAAGTAATAAACAGAAAATAACTTTAGATAAATAAAAATAGTGGAATGAACATAAAGCCATAAATAAATAAAAAGATAATTTAAGTATTTATTTTAAAAGGAAAAAAAATTATGAAATTATATAAAATAAAAAGAATTAAATAATTATTTAAAAAAATAAATATAAATCTCTTCGTATATATAAATACTTCATAATCTTCAAAATAAAGATAAAAAATTTTGACTATTTTTCAAAAGAAGGTAAATTCTCATTCAGAATCATTAGTTAAAGAACTAAGATTTTTTTAAAAAAAATATTGAAATAAATTCATCAAAAAATATAGCTTTATATAGGCTTTTTTTCTAAAAAGGCTAATTAATATAAGTAAAAAAAAGTAAATATATATTTAAAAATATATCCTAAAAAAGAAATAAATTACAACTTAATAAAAAATAGGAAATGAGAAAGAACATTAATAATATGAATAGCAATATAAATAAATAAATTATAAAAAACAAAAAAATAAATAGCACATCAACAGCAAACATAATAGTTATTAAAAAAGGCACTACAAATAGATGAAAAATCAAATAAAAATAATTAAATAGTATCAATAATAGTTATAAGAAATACATTCAGCTAAAACATGTATATATAATGCATTTTTTTAAGTTTAAAAATATTAACTTAACTATAACAGTAGTTTTATAGTATATTATAAATACGAAAATATATATGATTCCACTTAATATAAATTGAAAAAGGCTATATTTTTTAAATGATTTAATTTAAATTAAGTAATTGAAAATTAATAACTTTCTTTACTAAATTAATATAATAATAATGAAAGAATGCTATGTTTTTAAAAAATTAATGATATGAATTTATACAAAATACTGAAAAATAGGAATATAAATTAAACTTATTTAATTTATGTTAAATTATACTTTAGCCTTTTATGTTATAAAAAAAAATTAAATTCTAAACATAAAAGAATAATCTTTAAATTTTAAACTGCTAGGTATAATAAGGCTTATTTAAAAAATTATTCTAAAAAATATAACTTAATGATAAAAAATATTGAAAATTCTTTTAAAATTATAATTAAATATAATTTAAATAAAAATTTTAAAACAAACATATTTATAATATATAAATAAATATTTCTATTTAAATTGATACAGAAATAATTTAATGTATGGCTTAATTGATTATTTTGTATTTCATATAAAAAATTCAAGTTATTTATTCATTTTATTATTAATTATTTTACTTTATATTTGCATAATAAAAAGTTGACATTTTAGTAACTAACTATTATTAAATTCTATTTTGATTAATAGATTCTTTAGACACATTTAAATTATTATGTTTCCTTAAGCATAAAGTTTTTTTTATTATTTTTAATTTTAAGTAAGTATTTAACTATGATATTAATCTATTTATAAAGCTCTTTCTTTAGAAATAGAAATACCAATAATTTCAAATTATTTTAAATTAATATTGTTAATTTAAAAATTACTTAATTAATTATGAATTTTAATTAATTCTACAAAAATTTCATAAAACTAAATTTATAATTATTTATCTAAATATTCATATTGATTTTCTAATTAAATAATATTTTTACTTAAATAATTAAAAAGTATTATACAATCATTAAATGTTAATAATAATATGTCATTAATTATATATTTTCCTTTTTACATATTCAATATATCCTATATATTTAAAAGAAAATTTAATATATTCACTACTTTAAACATAATTATAAATTATACATTCATATTTATTACTTCATATTAATTTTAATAACAATTCAAATATATATCGTAATTTAATGATACTCTCATTAAATAATCATAATAATTATTTATTAATATATATTCTTCACTTACATTATATGTTATATTTTTATCTTATTTTAAATTAATAAATTTATCTGCAAAGTCTTATCCCATTTATTAAATACTTAAATGAATCAAAAATAAGAATTTTATTCGCTATTTTATATCAAATAATTCAGTTTACTATTAGTTTATGAATTTGAAGAATTAATCTATATTATCTATGTTTTAATCGAATTATATCAAAAGCTTTTATATTTACTTTGTATTGATTTTATTGCAATTTTTTTCATGAATAAATATGTTTTGTAATATTTATTCAATGCTATTTGAATTTGTAAACTAATTGTAAATTTACTTAATAAATTTATTCATTATTAAAAAATATTTCTAAAATAATAATAAATTATAGTTAATATATAAAACCTAAAACCTTTTGTTTTTTTGTTTTTTTAATTTATTTATAATAAATATATTATAACTATCTTGTGAGCAATATTTTTTTATAATTTTAAAATAAAAATTTTAATTAAAAAATTAATTATTAAAAATTATATTTATTATATATAAAAATATTTACATTTAAGTTAAGATTTAAATATTTATAGACTAAATTTATAAAATATATTGTTAAAATTAATAAATTACTAATTATTCATATTTTTTTATTAAGAACTCAAACAAAAACAAAAAAAAGGCAATTATCCGTTGTTCTAACCTTATTTTTTCTTGATTAAGTTTTTAAAATATAAAAAATTTATATTTATTTAATTTATAATAATATAAATAATTAAATTAATAGTTTATTAAAAAATACCAATTATTCCTTTGATAAAAAATATATCATAATTCAAAATGTTATATCATAATTTTTTATATTTATTATTTTATTATTAAAATAACTTATTGGAGAAAATTTAATTATTAATTAAAATAAATAATTTTAGAAAAATTGTCATAATTTATTATTAATTTTTTTGTATTCTAAGATATAATATGCATTTAACTATTTATTTTTAATAAGATATATTTAAATATCTATTAATTTTTATTTTAAAGAGATAAATTTATTATAATCAACTCTTAATTCAAAGTAAATAAAATCAATATTTTATTATAAATTACACACGACTATAAATAAAAAATGGGAAACATAACAAATGTATATCAAGATAGTAATCATTAAAAAATAGATTAAAAAAATTAAGATTATATTTAAATGAAAGATTAAAAATAAAGTTAAATCTAGTTATTATCATAAAATATAAAAATAAAATAAACACAAACAAACAATTTAAAATACATTATAACATTTAATTGTTTTTGCTAAATAGGAAAAAAAATATACTTGCAGACTGGTATAGTCATTTATAATATTAACTTTTAAAAAATCATAGATACAAATAATATAAATGGGCAAAAATAATCATTAAGAAATCTTAATTGAATAATAATAAAGAATATTAATAATAATGTTTAAATGATCTAAACTAATTTTTAAATTAATCTTTATAAGAGGCAAATAACATAATAAATAACATAAAAAGCTAATAATAAGTAAATTAAAATTTAGAAAAAACTTATAAAAAATATATACAAGAACTAACTAATTAAACTGAAATAATTTTTGAAAATTATGATGGATTGCTTGATTAAAAAGACTTAGTTTTTTACGAATAATAAATTTAAAATATTTATAAATACAAAAGCCTAATAAAAACATTTATAAGAAATTTTAATGAAGGAGAAATTAATCCATTTTATTCTTTAATTTAACTTTTTATTGAAATTATTTAAAATGACGAAACATAAAACTTTTAAGAATAGAGTGAAAGCATATGTGATTTTGTATGCCTTTTAGTGGAATTATTAAGAGTATTTTATCATTTAGATAACTATATAGTAGAAAAATAAAATAAGAAAACTTAAATATAACAAAATAATTATAATATTTTTACTTTTAATGACTTTAGCAATTTTATGTGTGGAATTTTGTTTGAAAATTCATATTTTAACTAAAAAATTAATAAAATCTTTTTTAATAATAATGATTTTCATTATGAATGCTAAAATTTATTAAAGCAGAAAATATTATAAAAAACTAGTTTTAATCTTGAATATTTTGGTGTAAGTCCAGAATATTAATTAAACTAAAAAACTCTTGATTTTTTTAAATGCAAAGGTTAAAATGCTTAAATTTAAGTTCCTTTTTAGAATTCGATTTAAATATTATAATAATTAAAGTATTTAAAAAGCCCACTCTAAAAACTGAAAATCTTATTAAAAACTTTTTAAAATGTGGAATTAGAAATAAATTAATACTATTAATAATATAATATATAAGAAGATAATAAATGTAATACAGAAAACATGCTAGGAATTATATAATTTTTAATTGTTTAATCTAGTTATAACCTTATTTATTATGATTTGTAAATTATCGAAAATTTTGTTTAAAATTATTCTCAAAGCTCTTTTAGTTAATATGTCATTGTCACTTTAAAAAGTGGAATTTATTTAATTTAATAAAACTGATTTTTAAAATTTAAATATAATCTTTATATTTATAAATTTATTACAATAAATTAATTATTTTTATAAAGAACTTTATTTATTATGATTTTTTTTTTAACAAAAGTATCTATTTTTTATATTATCAGATATAAAGTATAAAACTTGATTATAATTATTAATTTTCATATATTTTTTTTGAGAAAATTTATAAAAAATTCAAATTAAATTATATTTTTAAAGAAAAATTTAATATTTTTATTAATACAAAATAATTTACAATCATAAATTTATTTATAAATGAATATAAAGAAAAGATAAAAAATCATATACTTTTTACTTATTTTGAGCTTATGAAAGTTATATATTTACAAGGGTTTTATCGATTCTTTTCAATTAATATAAATACTGTTAAAATAATTGGTAATATCATAAATAATTTATCATTTAATTTAAATAAAAAA